TGGGTGTGAAGATGAGAAGCACTGTTTGTTTTTTCACGGTTAGTGAGAGCAAGGCTCTGTGTTGTGATTATAAACATCGTTTGTCCATCGTCCATAACCACACATCCAATACAAGGTCACAGTAAAGCAGAAACCCGCCAGGAGACGCAGGGCTGAAGTCGGGGGATTGGCTTGGATGGAATTTCACCGAGGCACCATATGCTAACAATTCAGGCACAACAAAGGCGAACGTGCAAACATCACAGCCGACTGGCGGAGGGATCTCACCCTGTAACCATGAGGTGTCGTGCCAAAGACGTAACTTTGGTTTGAACGTTGGGGTGGTTGAGGTCTATACCCATTTAGGGGGAGACATAATTATTGGGGGGGAGGGGTTATATTAACCGGTTTTGATTATGGGGGGGTTTAGAAGCCCCGCCCCCTCTATTTTATGCCCATGTGCCATGCCACTTTGAGCCCCTGGAAGAGTTAATGTGTATGTGTGCGTTAGCTAAAATTTTAAAGTCCTCAGCTAAAAAGCATCGTCTCCATAATGAGTGCATATGATTCCCTTTAAATAAAAGCAGATGTTTGTGCAGCTTCTTAAAACCTCAATTTAAAAATGGAACGGGCCCATTTAGCAGCCGACGGCATGCAGCTGCGCTGGAAGTATCCGCATCTGAGAAGCGTTTGGAGGTCCGCTCTGCCAGCCCCGAGCGAGCGTGATGAACTCCCGTCTGCTAGCCAACTCATCACGCTCAAGGGAGCAGCTGGCACCGCCGGTGGAAACCGAAAGGGGCCCCAATGCTTGTACGCGCCTCCAAAATAGCTGTATTTCATGCTGCAAATGATCGATCTCTGGAACAGGGCCTGCTAACAGGATGTTGTTCACAGGCTGAATGCCCTGTGTCTTTCTGACACCTCAACGCACCGCTCCGCTGGGTCGACCCAGCCGTGGCCCCGAATTTCAGATCCACGCTTCGTCATCTCGTCCCCGGACGAGTTTATTTCCATACCTGCTACATCGCAATTTTGCTGATGGGTCCCACTTCCCACTTTTGCCCTGTCTCTGCCCTCACAGCGAGACGAGTGTTGTGATATTTTATGCAAAATATAAAAAATTCCTTTGCTATTGTGACTGAAGCGTTTAGAATGATACTACATTAAAGAAAGGGGGGGGGGGGAATGTTTGTTGTTTCAACCTTTGGAACCCAAGGCAAGAAGTATTGATTTCTTTGATATTTATCCCATATCAATTGGGGGGGGGGGGTGATCCTGTTTTATTTGTTTTATATGAAATTCACACCCTGATGTTTAAATAGAAATATTTGCTAAATGAATCACAATCCAAAAATTGTGGCAGGTCACATCATTTTAGTGGTGAAGTGTCAGTTTCAGCTTAGACTTTATTTGGGTAGTCCGTTGTCAGTTCACCTTCTTTTCATCTAAAGCGGTGTTTCCCAGTCTGGTCCTTGGGGACCCGCAGAAAGTTCATGTTTTTAGCAGGGAGGGAGCAAAAACGTGGACCAACTGTGGGTCTTCGAGGACCGGATTTGGGAAACACTCATCTGAAGGTTTCAAGCAACTTAGAAGGACACCTGCAATTTTATTGTTTTCACAAGTACCTTTTGTTTCCTCTGCACCAAATCCATATATACTACTGATGGATTGCTATGAATTTTTTAATGCATTTTTTTCCTCTTTTTCTAGGCTTATCAGTCATGCTCTGATAATGAGTATATTACATTTTGAGAGCAGCCTGCCCTCGGGAATGACCGACATAACATTGTTGACCACCGCTCTGGCAAAACAGCTGCACACTGCATGAACTCAATATCCTCTGTCTGTTAGCCGTAGGTGGCCTACACTAATTCTCCGGTGCCCATAACAATAAATATAGTTTGCTTGTGTGAGTCACCTGGAAAGGTGTTTTTTTAATTTATTTTTTTATTTTAACGACCAGCATAACATCAGTACTGAAAGAATGTGTGGCATGTTCTTACCTGTATTGAGGGCTTTACAAAATGCCTAGGTTGTTATTTTATTTGCAAAAACGATAAACGTTGCATTATGCTTATTTGCAGTTTGAAATGTATTCATTATAGCCAGTTAGTAATTAATCTAGCCTTTTAGTCTAGGTGGCCTATAGTAGGTGAAGTAGGCACTCACACTTTTTATATATATATAATATAATATGTTTTGTGTGTGTGTGTGTGTGTGTGTGTGAGTGAGTGATTGGAATAGGTAGAATACAAGGTTGACAGAGGATGATGATGATGATTGATTATTATGAATGATTGGTAGCAGAGGTGTTACCATTTTGGCTGTAGTGTTCAACTGTTCATATTGTATAACGTAATTGCACTTGTCTGTGCACTTGTTTTGTTTCATCTTACTTTAATTTTACATGGTTTTTAAGTGGAGCTACAATCATCCCTCTACAGAAATGTGTTCGGTGTCTGTGCGGTAAATAAAATGCTTTGGATGCCTCTCGTTTGGCGGCCTCCCTTTGCAGACGCCAGACCTCCGCTAAGCCCCATGCCTATTATCATTTGTTCACAGGTACATCCTGTCCTTGACAAAATGCTGCACGTGTTTGCAAACAGCTTGCATGCAGTAAATGATGCATTTGCAATGAGGGGCAAATAAGTTGGGAGAAACGTGTATTTATGCATTATTCAGGGCGAACGCCGCGTCGCCGCATAGTCTTCCCGACATGTTTGTGTCTCTCCAAGCTGCATTTTGAAAAAGCTTTAAAGTGCATTTATGCATCTGTATTTGAACGACACGTTATCTGGAAATTGTGCCTCTCTCCTGCTTCAGTTCCTGGCATCTGATGGATGAAACAAAATTCGCATATTGACGATTTGCTGCATTTAGTCTTTTTTTTTTTTTGAGGTCTAGTTGAAGACATTGCTGTGTCATTTAATGCCTTTACCGCCGCTTGCACTAGCTTGTCCACACTTTTTCGGACAAAAGCTCCTACCAAATAAACACGTCTAAAGGTGTCTGACTCAATCTGCTGACTTGAACTTTCTTCGTCTACCTCCTGGAACAGCTGACAACTCTATTGTCATCCCATGGGAGCAGAAAGGGATTGAAAGTACAAATAGACCCTAAATATGAACAGGCAGGTGCTTTCGCTGCGTAATATATGTAACCGAAGTCTTTTAGTCGCTACCTAGGGAGAAGTTATTTTTGTATGGAATGTACGAAGTGCATGTTTCCTTTCCGTTATCTATTCCTCATGATTTAATCCTACTTTGTCATAGGAAATTCTACTTTCTGTGAGGTTATCTGGAGAATAGAGATTTTTAAAGGGGGTGAGGTAAAGGGGGAGGGGTATTCTGCCACAGGTGCCTCAGCAGAGTGTTAACGTACTTTTATGATCTAGGTGAGAAGCTCTTGAATTCTGTCTACATAATGTCTATGCACTGAAAGAATAGTTGCAGGGATGTGACCAAATCTCCAAACCCCAGCTGCGACTGGGTATGATGCTCGTGTTTCTCACTTTCTACAGCATGTGAAATAAGAATATAAAAGCACGTAATGGCCTGTAAGGTCCACGCACCAGTGGTGCTGAGGGATATTCCAGCGCTTTGTGTCTGTCATTTACACTCTGCTTTTCTCCCAAGCTTAAAATGAATATGTATATTTTACCTGTTTTTCTGTCTTCTGCAGCATTTACAGGTCAAAGTTTAAAAGGTACAAAAAATGCTGATTTTTATTCAGTTTTAATTTCATATTTTGCATAATGTTTTGAGAACTTCTTGAACCTTGGTAGGGGGAATTAATTCTCAGGTTCTATTGATCTTTCTGCTCAGTTATGGATCTTCCCAGTGTATAAATATCAACTTGAATTTAAGCTTAACCTTTCATAGCTACGACAGAAATATTCCAATAAAACACCCATGTTTTGGCTGAACTTGCCTGGTTCTCTTTGCTCAATGGCTGCTTCTGGCATTTTAAGAATCATCAAAGCATTCTGGTTGTTACAACTTAATCGAAGTGCCATTTCATGATTGATTCATTGTAATACTTTACTATAATACTAATATGTGGCAAAACACCAACCCCCCCAGATCCTCATATTACTGGTGGTTTTTCACAAAGCATTGGGGAAGAATTGGGATTACCAGGTTTTTAGGCTTCAGAAGTTAATGACCGCATTTCTGAAGTTGAGACAAGGATTTAGTAGGATAAAAACAAAATAAACACCTTTTCCATTTGTAAATTTATGCGGCAGTCTCCTCGTGGTAATTGAATGTCACAAATGACGAAAAATAACTCCACTTGAATGTCTGTGGAAGCAGAGTGACCCTGCATTGGATAAGCAGTTTTGATGATGGAGGATTGTTATCAGCAGACTGATGGTTGCTTAGTGACACACATACCATTGACTGTTTGTATTATTTAACCAATAGACCAAGTATGTGCTGCATTAATCACATTGTGTCTTTGTTGTGTTTTTTTTTTTTTTTTTTTAAGTAATTTGTATTCATTTAGTCCACTATCTGTTTTTTCTTTAAATCACATGATAACGTGACATTACAACATATCATAGCCTGTTGGAGCCATATTTAAAAGAAAAGGAGTAGAACGTCAAATGAGAAACAGCATGGGTTGGTGACCCTGTCTTTTTTCCTTTTAATTGCCTTGGGTGAATCTGTGATTTCAGGTTATCTCTGCTCTATAACCTCAATTTCAGTTATTCCGCACTGGGAGATGTGGGCCAACGTGGTTCCTGTTAGTAAATCGGTCCTTTCATTAAGCGACAAATAGCTTCTCTTACTTTTAACTTTAACAAAAAGAGAGGTTAGTAAGGGCAAACCTACCTATCTTGACTTCCATCCACCTTATCAGTGGAATAAATCTGGAACAATCAAGTAAACAAAGAATAAGGAAAGAATATTAATGAGGGAAAAAAAAATCTTGCCAGTAACGAGTGTGATTATTTCTGCTGATGATGATTAAAAGGTAGCCTGTCTGATTGTCTGCTCTGCTCTTCTCTTCAAATGTAGCTTTCTGGCCTCTCGATGAGTGAAAGTCAGCCGCAGGGGCAAATCTTGGCCCCAGGGATCCGGTGGGGTCAGACGCCGATCGACCAGTCCACGCCCTGGGAGACGGATGAACCTCCCGCCAAACAGATGCGTGAGAGCAGCAGCGCAGGTACTGTGGCTCCGTGTTCTCGCGATGGTGTCTGTCTCGATGGGGCAGCAATGAGCTTTGTCCCTTTGCAACATCAGGGTAATGGTGTTGGGGCAAACTCTCCTGTTTTATACCTGCTGGTAGTCGTCTGCAAACTAAGGGTTTTTCACTGAAATGAAAATACTTGGAAAAGCTACAAAGTGCACTAGTCACGGCCTTCTCTCTCGAAAGCCTTTCCCAATTTGCACTGCTTTCACAGTATGTGTACGGAAAGCTCTCCCTCAGTTGCTAATGATTTAAAGGAACATTTCACACAGACCAAAAACAATATTAATGGGTGTGGGGGAGGGGGGGCTGTATGTGTTTTTTAAGGTATCTGTGTTTTGTTTGCTTTTGAAAGTCCTGTATAAAGATTAAAGGAATGAATCCCAAGTATTTAACCATGAGCTGTTTGTTATGTGCATCATACTTTGTGGTTATTTTATAGAATGTTGTGGGCAGGGTGCTGTGTGACAACAAACAGAAAGACATTCCATTAAACTCATTTCATAATTAAATACAAATGTAATTAAATCTGATTTAGTCAAATAATCAAAAGTACCATAGAGTTTCTTTAAAAGTTTTTCCTTTTATAATATGATTGCAGCTCTAACCCCCTATAGCTTTAATAATTATACCATGATTTGATAACGAACAAGCAAATCAATTAAAATAAATAAATGGATATGTGTGTGTGTGTGTGTGTGTGTGTATAATACATTTTTTTTCTTTTTTCAACTTTTGTTCCATCTTGCGGAAAGCTTCGTTTAAAATCTTGATCAGGCAGTTGTGAATGTTGTCTTCTCTGAGGCTTACAAACTTCGTTGAACTTAGTAAGAGTCGGAACAAAGTTTTACTGCTGGATAAGAACACATTTTAAGGCCAAAAACTAGATCACCTAGTCCAAGGAACTACATTGGGATATAAAAATTTAGTGACTTTATTTGCATTTAATTTAAAATAACTGAAACTAGACCATTTCCTCAAACAATTACATTTTAAGAACTGTGAGGAATAAGTTGACTATGAAACTCAATATGTAAAGGACTTAATCATTTTCAAAGTGCCACAAACAAAACTGCCAATATTCCAATTTAACATGCGCTAATTTACTGAAATACTTGCATAAGAGCACAATGGAAATGAATGAATATGCCTGTATATTTAAGCAAAAGTATTTTGTTCTGCAGACTTTAAGCTAGACTGGGAGCTTTGAAATATTTATGAGTAGGAGACATGTGCTAATGAGTCTGTTTCATTTCTTTTTAATTTAAAATGTTTACCTCTTCTTAAAGTCTGTACCTTAGATTCAATAATAACAAGAGACAGTATGAAATGTGTAATGCAATAAGAGGAATAAAGAGATAACATACATGCCATTATAAAAATAGTACTGTATTCAGCTCTTCAGTGTTGTAACAATGGTCTCCCAGTTTGGAAAGACAAACACCTTTGTTTACTGTACAATGGATGGTAGTAATTTATATATGTAACATGGTGTTAAAATGACATTTTTACCTGCTGGGATCAGTAATGCTATTTGTAGATATATTTAAAGGGAGGAACTAATTTAGTATTTGGGCCACTATTGACCCGCGTTGTGTAAAGAGCTATTTTTGTATTTAACCTGAAAGTGAGGGCGGGATTCCCAAAAGGGCGCTCTTTCTTGAGATTAATATTCTCAATTCACTTGTGAATGTTAATTTCCACAAGGAACTTCTCCACGTTGATTAATGAGCCGATCGGTCTCCTGATTAATGACCACCGGCGAGGACGGTCCGCGATCCGCACAACTTTATGCACCATCGAAACTGCTGTTAATGAGCTTAAAAACAAAGGCGTGCGTATGCGCACACACACACACACACGCACACTGGTGCACGCACACACACAAATGGAATGCATGAAATTAAACTATGGCTGAATAAAGTTCACTGTGCAGTATCACCCCTGTTCAGCATAGTGTACTACTGTATATATTTATGAAAATTAGTTATCACCCTTTATAATGCTGATAATGTTCAGAGGGGTATTTGCATATTTGTTGTTATGTTTTGGTTTTTAATTGGTTTTAAATGTCTGAAATGTTAATTATCATTATTTGTTTGTGTGTTTTCTTTTTTGTAAAGAAATGAGGTTAAAATTGCTGAAATGAATTTTTTTGTTGTTCTGTCCAGGTCAGTTGTGGCCGCCTCCTGTGGCCGCAGCGAGCCAGCCGAGCCTTTTAGCGCACACATATGGGATGCCCCAAGCCCCCGTATACAGCCAAGGAGTGACTGTCCAGGCCCCCGCCATTGGCGTTAAGCCGGCACTGCAGACCCCCGTCCCCTCTCCACACCCGCTCATGCCGGCTCACTTCCCGCTCCCGCCGAATCCCGCCCAGCCTCTCCCCAGCATGGTGATGGCCATGAGTCAACCCCTACACGGCGGTAGCCAACCGCCCATCACCATGGCCCCGCTGAGCGGACTCTGTCAGGTGGCGCCTTCCGTGCACAGCACCGTGGGCAACGGTCACATGTCCCACCCTCTAATTCCACCATCCGCCCTGCCTCCCTCCACCCTGCCAGGCGGTACCCCGCTGACCAATGGGCAAGCGGTTACCCATGCTGTGCCCCTGCCTCCGACCAATCAGGAGCATTCCAACGGACTGCAGATGCTGCGGACTGTCGGGATGGGAAAGTATGAGTTCACTGACCCCGGGCACCCTAAAGGTAACGTTCAGAATTTGATTTCCCAATTCCTAACACCAATTTCCTATCAGGATTGTCATATTTACAATAAGTACAATTAGCCCCGTGACTTGCTTGTCATGTTTTTTACATGCATAGCCTGATAGACCTAAAGATATGTTCTCTTTGCACTTGAAAAGGTTCTTGTCCATCGTTCCTTGTGTTTTACCTGTAATACTTGCGTATTTGTGATACACACCTTCATTCTCGTTTCCTCCTTGTTCTGTTGGTGACGCCTCGTGATTATAAAATGTTTGCAGCGTATTAATTTTAAATCGGAATGAATTGTATCTGTTACTAATTTTTGGCCCTGCAGTGCTGTACTGCCTAATGCAAGATGCAATATTTTATAATAATGTTATTTTATTAACTGAAGAACATCTGACAGTATTTTCTTATTCAAAAGTGTGGTGTTCGTTGTGGTATGTGGTTATTTAAGGCTCCGTATTTTGCAGATGAGTACAACTTGGCATAGCGAACAGAGTAGTGAACTAAAAGAAGCCACAGAGTGTCTTTACTCCCAAGTGTTGTTGACAAGTCTTGTGGGTAGGCAGCATGGGCTGGAAGCTACACATACTGTATATATCCCTCAGGAGGAAAAGCACAGCCACAATACATCCCATACAGGGCAGAAATTATAGCTGCAAGTCTGCGGATTAATCGACTGTCTCCTGCCCATCATATATATAAACACTTAAGTGTTCACCCTTATAGTAAAACGTAACGCAAATGCAGTTTAATATGAATGTGGGAAAAATTCTTCATGAATTCTGGTTTAACATGCTTTGAATCTTGATGCATTTAATCAATTTATTAAAGCAGGGCCTATTAAATTAAGAACTCATGTAGAGGGATGACCCAAATAACCTGCTGATAAAGCCTAGAATTTCCCAACGTCGGCCTGTAAGGTTAACGCTGACGTTCATTTGGCTAAAATGTCGGCGTGTTTATTTTTTGTATAAATCTAATTCTTTAATGATCCTTCAGTCTATTGCAATTGTGGGCCACATAGAATGAGTTAATTTGTACTGTAACCGGCCAGGGAAACTGCATTAATCATGCAAAGTATGAATTATTCAGTGTCAAACTCTCAGATGTTATGTTAAATGTAATGCTATACTTCTATTATAAGGCAGTATTTATTTAACGGTAGGCATGGATTTCACAGAAGGAAGCCTAACTGATCTGCATCTGTAAAATGGATAGGCCGAGGACAGGAATAAACACAGTAATTGACTAAATGTTTCCACAGAAAAATACCACAGGTACAATAAATAACCCTCTATTCAATTATTAACGACAAATGATTATTTGTCTGAAATAAACCAAAAAGACAACTGATAAATAATAAATAAGAAAGTTAGTGTGGTTTTGGGGGAGCTTGATGGTTGTTTGTTGGACTCTCCTTATTCCATTTATTTTAATCTAGGCTTATAGTTACTTTAGGGACGCAATGTAAATTGTTGATGTTCAATACTTCAGCTATCAATGCAAAACATATTTGCTGTCTATGTTCACTGTCCACAGAAAAGCTTTTCCATTTGCTTCCCTTTACATGTGCTGGTGAATTCAAAGTTTCTTACAGCAAGCTTATTACGGAATGCATTAACATAATCGCGTATTGGAAAACGGTCGTAGTGTCTTTCTCCGCTCCTTAGAATTCATACGGCCTAACAAACGCTCTTTTCCATCATCTTAGTTTTTTAAAGTGTATCCAGGATGTTAATTATCTTATTACATTTTTTAACATAAGCTATGATGATTATGAGTCTGGCTACGGGAGATTTGTGAAGATCTGGGTGCATGAACAGTTAAATTTAAATGCAGATGCCCCATCTCCCTTAAACCAGATGCAAAACATGTGGTGATTCATTGAACATACCCAAATGCTTCTCACGTCTTTGGTTCATTTTCTTTTCTTAAAAAAAAAAAGTATAATGAATGCTGAGTGTGAGAACAGTAACTCAACTTTAGCTGCCTGATTATAGGATTTTAAACTACTGACTGGCAACAATCAGGCAGTTAGCCTAATGTCAAGGTTTCCATCACAACTCAGATGCGTTCCTTTCATGACGTGCTCGGTTGCGTGTTTGCGCTGTCAAAGTTCGGCATTCAATCTAACCGGGTGGGTGGACAATGTACTGTAGGCTAACAAGGTCATTTGTAGTACGAGTTTGGTAAATGGAGTGGTTCATGAACAGAAAATTAGACATCACTTACCAAAGTTTGTGCAGACTGTAGGGTTACAGCTTACTTAATGTTTGCCTGCCGATGTTGCCAAAGTCAGCTTCATTGTGTCACGTTCCGCGTTTCTCTTTGTTGCCATGCTTTCTTTCTGTATTCTACAACTGATGTTTATTACAACTGAATTTGAAATATTGGATTTTGGTAATAGCTGCAGGCGTGAGATGGCCTGACCCTTTCTTGTAAACTGAACATGTATTGTGAACATTTTAAGCTCTGTAGAAACATTTAGAGTAAGGCTGTATAATAGTATTTTTTTAACTACTTTTGTGGACACGCCCACATTGGCAGTTGAGTTCAATGTGAGATCCAGAAATTGAATGCCATCAGATAAAGTAAAAATATTGCATTCTTTTATTTTATAGATTAGAATGTTAAATAACTCTTTGCATGTTCTTTCTGATTATCGATGGTTGTACTGGCAGCTCCCAGTGTAAGTCTGGGCCTGACGATGTTAGTTTTTCCCATTAAAGTGTTTCTGAATAGTGTGACTTTCATCCGAACTCCTCCTGGCTGAGTTCGCCTACATGATGATGCTGACAATACATATAGGATGGGGATGTGGAGAATGAAAGAATGGGAGAGAGAGAAAGAGGTTTTTTAGCAACTTTCTCATGTTAAATAACCATGCAGAAATGATTCTACTGGGCCCTATGAATTATAGTCTACTGGAAGGCCTCTTTTTAGGGAAACTAATTTACAGACTCTAAATACCTAAGTATAAGGAAAAGGATTCTTGGTGTGACGCAAACTTTACCTTTGAGGACCTTATGGGAAGGAACTTAAATATCTGCATCTACTGCCTTGGGCATATTAACGACAAGTTGTTCCCTGGCTACGGAGTTGCACACTATTTATGTATTTGCGCATGTGTGCATATAATACGTATATAATTTATATTTAGCACAAATGGTAAGTTCTGTAGCCCAGCCCAACAGGATGCCGAGGCACACAGCGTTTGTCGTGACTCCACGTATAGCTGGAAGCAGCCAGAACTCGCAGGGTCCAGATCTGTCGTGATTTTCCCCCTGACGGCCAGGAGTCTTGGCGGGGCTCCAGTCCCGCCGCTTTCCCGACCCAGCTGTGTCGCGCTTTACGTGCCTCCACGCACAGCGCTTCGTCCAGGGGCGCCTTCTGTCAGAATGCGCTCGTCGACGGCTGCTGGCAGCCCCGCCTCCCCCACGGTTACAGGCTTTTAGCGAAAGCTTTGCTGTTTGTTTCCAGACGGTTTCAAGTCCGCCGGCAATAAATATCTGAATTGTGTTGCGATGGGAGATAAAGGGGCTACAGGGGTAAACACTGTGGTATATTCCATTTCGGAAGTAAGTGGTGATGGTTTTATTGCATTATTTAAACTCTTACGGGATTTATAAACCAGATAAATACTGGCAGTGGTTTTTATTTTTCTGCAAGACTATCGATAAAAATGAACATCTGAATATTATAATTGGCTTTATTATAAAGTGTAGGGCCATGTTGGATAGTTAAGTGGTGTTGTAATTTTTGTATTATATGTAATAGCTAATTGAGACACAATCCTGAGACTGTTATGTTTCTCGTTTATTTCTTTGGAAATATAAACAGACGAGCATAAGAATGAATAGCAGCTATTATCAATGGTAGCTTAAGGTATTCAACGTTTGACAAACCATAATGAAAGTTGCTTTTGTTTGTTAGATACAGACACGTACAACTTTCATCCTGTTGGAGTTCTGATTTTGACCTTCAAATATTTTGTGGATAAATCTGCATTTAATTACTTGTCATTTTTGGTTATTTTCATAGTATCTACAAAATCAACTTAAAGCCCCCTGTATAAAAGTGTTGTCATGAAATTATTCTGGCTATATTTCTTTTCAGTACGAGTGCCATTAATTAATTATTATTTTTTAAGAATTCCCTTAATTTACCAGATTGTGGGGAAATTGCATCCTTTCTTTTATAATGTGGATGGTACAAAACCTGAAACAGATTTTGTGTGTGTGTGTGTGTGTGTGTGTGTGTGTGTGTGGACGTGCGCGTGCCCTGTAATAAATTGGCATCCCATCCAGGGTGTACCCCAGCCCAATGTTGCCTGGGATAGACCCCAAGGATAATTGCTTGAAGATGGGTGCAAGTCACTTGACCTCATGTTTTTG